TTGTACAATGAATTTGACAATAAGGTGGATAATGTGTGAGTTGGCAGACATTATGTCCATTAATTTGAAAGATTGTTTTTGAATTCAGTGGCAATGATCTATACACCTCACACATTGTCAAAATTATTGTGCAAATTCATTGTACAAGTAGTTTAATTCAAAAAGAATAATGACAGAAAATGGAGACAATATCCAACATCACTAAGAATTAACAAGGTGGGAATATATATTTTCTAAAATTTCCTCGAACTTGAAATATAATTGGATTTGAAAGTAAAATGATCTTATATGACATATAGAACATGAAAATATCTATTTGCTCGAAAATATATATCTTTGATAAAGCAAGCAGAATTGGAAAGTAAATAAGTAAGTATTAAAATATTTTTTGTTAGGTAAAGTTGAAAATAAGCAAGTAGTGATTTTTACTTAATACTTATGTGGGCCTGATTTTTATTCAAAAATCTTCATTGCAGGATTTTCACCTTTTGCCCTACCTACTAGGAAATATTCACATTAAGAAAATGGGTGAAAAGAAAATGAATTTCAGAGAAAATAATTGTCTAGAACTTGTTTTTCATGGAATTGTTAATTATATGTGTTTGATTGATATAATTTTCCACCCGGAAAAATTTTAAAATTTTGAATCTTTTTGTTTTACATGGAAATTGTCAATTAAAGTAATAATTTTTTTTCACAATTGATTATAAAATTTGTTTCCATTGCCAAAAAGTAAAAAAAAAAAAAAAAAAAATTGCTTCTTAAAAAATCATTTTTTCATCAAAGTTTAATGTTCGTTTGACTTTGTTTTATATAGAAAGTGTCNCATTAAAGTGATATTTTTTTCCACAATTGGTTATAAAATTTATTTCCATTGCCAAAAAGTAAAAAAAAAAAGAAAAAAAATTGTTTCCTAAAAAATCATTTTTTTAATCAAAATTTAGTGTTCATTTTGCTTTGTTTTATATGAAATTTGTCCGCTAAATTGATAATTTTTTTTCCATAATTGATTATAGAATTTGTTTCAATTGTCAAAAAGTTAAAAAATAAATAAATAAAAACCTGAAATTGCATTTTCCCACCAAAATGGTGGGAAAAGCAATTCCCCAAATTTGAGGAAAATAGGCGCGTGGAGGGCAGCCATGGAAAAAACTTTGCCTAGAAAATTTTGTTGTTCAAACATGCCAAAACCAAGAACTTGGAAATCCATGGAAAAAATGACAATCAAACAGGCACTAATAGTGGAATTGCTTGAAAAAACTTAGATAGAGTGCACATTTTTAAAATAAAAATTCTATGTTGAACGATGAGGATATGCAAGTATCCCTATCAATTTATTATGAACGATAAAGGGAAGTATAGACTTCGATAGGCATATGATATAAGGAAAGTGTAACCGTGTAAGATAACTAATTGAACGCGTAGCGTGTGTCAATAAAACTTCCTATAAAGTGACGAATTACAAAAATACGCAACTTGAACGATAATAAAACTCAGTGTAATATCAACACAAACTAGACAAATTTTTAACATCGGTCGCCTCTTTTCTTCCTAAGAATTATCAGAAGACAAAAGAACAAACCCCTTAACCCGTCTGATAATCGAAATCGAAATCGAAATTGAAATTGTCAATGATAAGTATTTATTGTATAAAAATTGAAATGAGGCAGGCGTGATAATATCTTGGTACAGTCATTGTGTTGTTGAATGTGTGTGTGTGAAGTGCCGAAAATGAAAAGCATTGTAAATCATTAATAACCTAGCTAGTAATGGACCACGCTCTGTCTTTTGGAATT